AACTACACCGGAATCAATTTTTAACGTACATGTGCAATCCTTCATAAATTTAAATTATAAACAAAGTTTCTAACAAATTAAATTTCCAATTAAAATTTAAGCGTTAAATTAAAAAAAAATAGAATTTAGGACAGCTGTCATGCACAAAGACATCTAATTCTCCACATCACAAAAGCAAAACTGACTCAATTAAATTGTCATTTAGAAGAATTCAAATCAAAGAATCGAATTTTGTGTGTATTTTTGGAATCTTCTACATAAAATTTCGTTTAATTTTGAAATATTATACATCATTAATCAAGCGCGATCGAGACTGAAACGAAGGGAGGAAGTGAAATTGTGCCAAAAGCGGGCCGACACAGTTCGAAAGGATTGTAACATTGAAATTTGGACCGCTGTCTTTGCGATGTCTCATGCCTCGTTTACTCTTGTCAACTTTACGCGATCGTTTAAAAGCGTCTTGTACACGCACCTGTCGTCATGGAACGCACAGGTTAAAACGCATGAGCACCGTGTGACTCACGTGTACAATCATTACAACTGCAGTTTGTGGAGCCGCTCGTCGTGATCGCGTGTTAGATCAAAAAAAAGGTCGTGATATTTCCTAGAGAAATTCATATATATTTTTTCCTTTTAATATTAGTGCGTGATTACTGAAAATTAAGAACTTTGTTCTTTGTTTCGATAACTCGTTATATTTGATTGAAGTATTTTTTAAATATCAATAAATTTCTTTGAAATACACATTTTTTGGGGGCAAAATTCGCGCTGTGGTTCTCGAGCTTAACGTGCCGCGTTGACCGTATTTTCCCACAATTTTCCCCGACGAACGCGCGCGCGTTTGACCGCAACCTCCGGTTTACAATTAAACAACACGTTTACTGCAAAAACGATCACCTGTGATTCGTTTCGGGCAAAGAGATTGCGCGGGGTTTGCAATCTTTGGCCGATGGCCGCGCCGTAATGGCGCTTCGGTTACATCGCCGCGGTGAATAAAAAAACGTTTTTTTTTTTACGCTTCTCATTCGAAATCGCCGTCGGCGCGATTCATAAAATAAAACTGGCACTGCGTGCAAGAGTGTCCGCATTGGCTTGTCGAAACGCGCCGTGGCATTAAAAGGTGGTATAAACGCGAGCTTACAAGCGGGCGCGTTAACTCTCTTTGCGCTCATTTTAACCGCCATAGGACACGTCGTAATTTTACCGAGAGGCGCCACTTTCACGCGCGATGCATTAATATCTCGATAGTGTATGTAAATGTTTTTTAACGAAGAATTTATTTCACTTTGATCTATCGGCGTGCATCACGCGATTTCGTTCTGCTTGTTGAACGCGCACAAACGCGCTATCCGGACAGTCGGATTTCAACCACTGATCGCATAATTCGTTAATTAAAATTAGCGTTTGCTTCAAGAAAGACCAACGAAATTGATAAAAGCAAATAACGAAAGATTAAAGAAACAAATAAAAAAAAATTCTTCTTTGTAAAAAAAAAAAGAAACAAGCCAATAATTACTTATGTTAGCGGCCCAAATGTGAATTCGGGTCGAGTACGTAGAATATATAGCTCGGGTATGCATAAGTAAAAGCAATTGCAATACGCCGGTTCAATTCTGACCTTTTCTTTTTCCCGTCGTGCGTCGTAACGATCGATGCGGTCCACATGTATACATGCGTATATATTGACATACACGCTCCCTTTCTCTCTCTCTCTCTCTCTCGTTTTCATATATGCTAGTGCCAGCAAAATATAATTCGCACACGCCCAATCCCCTGTGCGTCGCGCGCGAGAATGACCAAAGAGAGAAAAACGAAATTTCCCGAATAGCTCTGCACTCGCCGAGATGATTGTTGTGGTATATGAACTCGACTGGGAAAAAATGTCTCCTTTCATTACGAATCGCGCTCGCGTACTTTTCCGACATGGCCGGACGAACTGACTTATGCATTTACGATTGTGAGGAAAGAAAGAGAAAAATGTTTCCAAAATAATCAAAGATATTGGAAACAAGAATTTCTCTATTCTCTCTCTCTCTATTCTTTCGATAGAATATACGTTATATTGTATTTTTAAATATGACAGATCTAAAAATAATTTTATTTTTCATCGAAATAACTATACAGTTACAAAATAATTACATAGGATGTTCAAACTGATTGCTAGAATGTTAAAAATTTTTGCAATATTATCATAAACGCTTGAGCATTCTACATAATTAGTTTAACGATCGAAAGAAAATTATTTTCAGATCTGTACCTAGCTAAATTTTTAGGTTTTACTTCAATAAAATCGTCCTTTCCATGGAGAGATGCATAGAAAAAGAATCTATATATATGTTTTTCTCATAGAACGTGCAATTTACATGAAATTTAAAGCTGACGGGAAGTATTAAAAGATGTCGAAAAATGATAGCTCATAAGAATCTTACTCTGATAGCTACTTTAGTTGGTTTGACGTTATAATAATATCTATAACAAACTATAAATCGAAAAAGTAACGAAAATAAGAACTTAAGAAGTCCCGCAAAGTGTCCGTCGTGAGAATTTGCTCCGAAAGCTCGTCGAACAAGAGCTAAACATGCGGTGAAGTTTTTCGTCTTGGCACGCGTACAATCTTGAGAGACGCTGACGGTCTACCACATCGTTCGCTGCTACTCTTATGCTAACGACAGAAACCGAAGAATTTATTCGGGCCGCTTATCGAGACCTCCCAGGGAAGAAGACCGGTTGTCCATCCGCGAGTCGAAGATTAATGAACGCAGTACTAGAAGCGGAGGCTCATTAGAACGCATTAACCTCGGGCGTTTCCTTTTTTTCTCGCATTATTCAATCCTAATGACATATTGACCATTACTCCGCGAAGTATCAAACCTTTAAAAAGAAATATATGGCCAATGCTGCCTGTCGTAAATTGCGCATCATTGATGGAGAATAATTTTCGCCGTGTGTATATACAGTGAGTGCAAAAAGTATTCGTACAGAGAAAATATTTAAAAAAAAAACTTTATTTTCAAAAAGTAAATATTATCCAGCGAGAAATAAGTCGAACTGATGTCGAATTGATATCGATATGATGATTTCAACACCAATTTGACGTCGATTCGACGTTTAATTGACGATCATTTCTTGTTGGGTAATTAACAATTTATTCATAAAGAATAAAATAGACTGTATGTTTTTTAAATATTGTTTAGATGCTCAAAAAGTATTCATACAGTCGAGGAATTTAATTTCTAAAATCAGAAATACATGCGAAACTCGTTTGTTTATATTAGAACAGAATGTATTCATATTCATTGTAAAAAATTGCTGATTGATGTTTATTTTCTACAAATAAGACTTTTTTAATAAAAAATTTCCTTGTATGAATACTTTTAGCTCTCACTCTATATATGATACTTTTGAAATACGCAAATAGCGACGATAAAACGTAAAGATTTGTATTTGTATCCAAAATCATTACAAGATTCCATTATATTTCTGAGTTATTGCAATATCGCAGAATATTTAGTCATTATGAGAAAATGTTTTTTTTTATTATTCTTATTGTCACTTTTAAAGCTAATTTTAATTAAAATAACTTGGTATTAAGTTATTCTTTTTAATTATTCTTTTTAATCACTCTATAAATATATCGATTAATAATATACCTAGATATATATAATATATTATATATATATATATCTAGGTATATTATTAATCGATATATTTATAGAGTGATTAAAAAGAATTATATATATATAATCGTAATTTTTTTTCAAACAGCCGCAAGAATAAACTTACGACGCATGATGGCAATACAAATACAAGTTTCCTTTCGCATGTAGCCTCGATTAATTTCCAACGGTTCGAAATCGACCCGACACGGATAGAACGACATGTGCGCGAACAACAATGCGTTCCATGGATCATATCTTATCGCTATTATCGTGGATCTCTCAGAAGAGGTCGGTTTATCTGCTGGCGGAAAAAAAATATGGGCCAGATAATTTTATAGTGTAACAAAAAGCCGCGCGAACGGAGATTCGAAGGAAAAGATTTCCTGTAGTACGTTTCGGATAAAAATTTATACATTTCTCACATAAATATACACTCGCTATCGACCCTGTGTTTCTATTGAAAGCGAAACAATTGTGAAGTCGGATCAAAGCTATACGCTTGTTTCTATTGCTTTTATTAGTTAATCTCTCCGCAAATTATACATTTTCAATAAATAATTCCATTGGAATTATAAATTTGAACCTTAGAATCTTTTTCGATATATTTCTCGTATAAACATAACGGAACAGTTGGCTTTAAAGTCATATAAGCTTTTCTGCAACACAAACGAAAATTACGAGCGATTTAGCAAACACGATTAAACAAAACGGCGTGCAATAACCTTTATCAAAATAACGACATCTCGAATTGCGATAAATAGCGCATTCGATTAAGCATACCGTAAATTTCGTCGCGCTGACCATTTCAGTACCACGAATATTTTTCAAAGGAGTATTTATTTTCCAGATTTTATAAAAAAAAACATACATCCCCTTTGTTCATGCGGTAATCGGAAAATTGGCAAAACCATCGCGCAGTCTATTAAGTATCAGGAATTTTAGGTCCCACATGCCGTGAGTGACAAGATTTTTAATTTAATCAAGAACGATATCTATATATTTTACAATTAAACGCAATCGACTTTAGTATGTATGTATATGGCATCCGACCTCGTTCAATTTTTTATTCCGTTTTCACGAGATGATTTTAAGGCCGATTTTTACAGGACTGATTTTACACGCTTGTGGGTAAATTATACCGTGAGTAATTTATCGAATCGATTGCGCATCGAACATACGAATAACGTTAATGTTTGCACGCAGATGAATCGTGCGAAGGGCCGACGCGACGAAGGGTGTGTAGACTCGCTAGCTAGATTCTCGAATATCATAAATACACAATCATACGTATAAATGACAATCAAATGGGGAAAAAAGGAGTAAATTGTAAAGTGTACTCACCTCCGTGCGCTGCGATAACCTCTTGTTCAACTCGTGGAGCCTGTAGTCCGGTTGGTTGTAGCCATAGGCTGGAGTATGCCTCCTGGGGACAGGCAACGATCTGTCAGATCAAACCGATCGCTCATGTTAGGCGTGCTGTGTCTAGCGTGTTATTTTCGTGTGTATGTTTCGTCGCGAATGTTTCATGCATGCATTACGCGCCCTCCTCTCCCATCGTTGCATCGCGTCGCGTTGTATCGCGTTGCTACACTCTGCGAATTTTCGTAAGACGCCCCGAGGGGTGCGACTACACACTACCGGTTGGCCCTCTTCGAGCGTGTGCAGTGTGCACGCCGCAAAACGCGCTCGGACGTGGCACAGATTCGCGAAATGTAGTTTACGACTTTCACCACGATCGCGCCATTCTCGGTCCCTTTAATGCATCGCGTTACGGAAGCGCAGGTTTGAAACAGCACAGCCTCGAAGGGTTTGATGCAATGCCGGTTTTTAATCGACTTTCTCAAATAATTGTTCCATACTTGTTCGCTTGGTGATGTCGAAATCAATTTTCCGAAATAAGAATGTTGTTAGATCGTTATTATAATAAAATAATTATAGTATTAATACATTACCGTATTAAAATAATTATATATTAATTTATGTAAGTAATAGTAACTTCCGTAAGTTCCGATTTCAACATTTTCGATATTCGAACATTCCAAAGATTCAGATTTGTCTTATTAGTAGAATCACTGCTAAGAAATATTTCTCAAGCATATTACCTATATGTACGTACAACGCTCTTTCATCGGAGGGAGTTTAGACGACTCTCTATTGTCTAATTTCTACCAATGTAGAAATTTGTTTAGAAATTAAGCTTAATTTCGGTTTAATTTACTTTAGAAAAAGATAAAAAAATGTTAAACTCATATTGAAGCTCCTCTAAACTAAGAAAAATTTTCGGTTAAAAATGAACAAACCAGAACATTCTGATCACATCGATCAGAATTTAAATTCTCTACTAGAATTATAATAGATTTAATCAGAAAATTCTGCTTTTTGTCCGTTTTTAACCAGAATTTTAATTAATGCAATCAGACTTTTTCCAGTGTACGTATTGGTAGAAACCAAGATAGAAACGGACATAAGGCAGAGAAGTGCAATTTGATAGTTTCGGATACTTATAAAACCTAAAACCTTGGGTACATAAAATTAACTGTGAATATGAAGACCTTTAAAACTAATTTCTTTTTTTAGTAGCGCGTATACGATCGCGCCGAAAAGGTGTATCGACAATGACGAAAGCGGTTTTAGCCGCTCAGCTGTTTGGTAAAATAACGCTATATCAAAATCAATAATGATGCGAAGGTCGTTGTATTTATTCTGTCAGTGCAATTGTTGGCGATCATCCAGATACCGATAATTTAATGTCACGAATCAATTATAACATTATCAAACATATTACACGGTATATCCTGCAATTTTCATGAATTGGCCAATACAACGACAAACTGATTGCAATAATTTTGTAATGACAAACATAAACGTAAATTTATTTATTTTTTGTCTCACTTGAGTGCCATTATATTTATCGCTTCATTATAGAGATCTGTTAATTTATTTAATCAAACGATTCATCTCTCTCTCTCTCTCTCTCTCTCCCTCTCTCCCTCGGTTAATCTTAAGATTAAAAGTTTTTGAAATGTTTATCCCATATCACAAAACAAACCATTCGCATAGTGTTTCTTATGATCTTTCTTTTTCATTTGTATTTTCGATACGAAAGACAATACTGTTAGATGCCTTAATCGATGCAAATCATCGAGGATCGGCTCCCGGTCATTGGTAGAGTAGCAGTTGGTTAACCGGAGGATAATTAACGTCGCGTTGATAATATTTAGTGCTCGGAATGCCCGGGCCGGTGTGTTCTGCGCGCATATTCGCGCCCCGAGGCCGGACGAGCGATCATTAAGAAGCGAGCGCGGTACGGTGATTAATAACAAGAGTACGCAGAATATTCCGGCAACACAGAGAGTCCGAACGCGCCGTACTTCCGGTAACGAATTTCGGGATTATGTTCAGCCCACGATCGATACCACATTTAGCACATTACGCGTTCACACGCGACATTTCGTGTGACGTGCGGATTCCGCAACGTAACGTGCCAACGGAAAAGAAGAGAGAATAAAGATCGAATGTCTTTTCGAAATAAAAATTGTAAATGTCTACAAGATGTCTATCGAATACAAGATTATGAGAGATCGAGAGATCTCCTGATGCTTAAGGCGGTCTTATTTTAAGACTGTCTTAAGTAATGTCTTGAGTAACGCTAATGCAACCCTCTGATTGACTTATGACATCTTAACCCTCACCGTGTATACATTTTTTTAGTACCCATTAAGTGTATACGGGGGTCTTCACGTCCGGCGTATTTTTTTAAATGGATTAAGTGGTTCAAAAAATATTAAAAAATTCATGTAGCTCCCTTAACTATTCTAAACGAAAGATTTATATATAATTTAACAAATCTATTTGTTTAAATATTTTATTTTTGCAAAAATGTAAACACAAATGTGAGTATGGTAGTGGTACGTTCAAAAATTTGTAACTTTTGATCAAATCAATGAAATCTAATAATTAAAAAAGAAAAATAAAGTTCAAAGTTTATATTTTAATAAAAAAAATATATGTCAATAATTTTTTTTAATTTAAATGCTTAAGTTCGGGACACCAAATCTTACAATTTCGAAACTTATAAAAATAAGCGTTCCTATGGAAAATTGATATTTAACTTTAAAAAATTCATTTTTTATTCAAAATCTACAATCTCATACACTTTCGTAAATAAAAAAATATATACGGGATGACATTGTAAGAGAACGAAGAAATTGTAACATCTCTTCTGCAAAGCGATTTGCCATTTTTAATATTTTTATTCTAAGATAACACTGAATAAAAATTTTTCTTGTTATATATGTATATGTATGTGTTTTACTTATAAAAATAGTCAAGAAACAAGAAATACGAAAAAAATCATTTTCGTATTTATACAATAAATATGCGTTGAGTGTATACGGAGGTCATTTTGTGTCCGCGCTCGATTTTGAATATTTACTGCTCAGTGAGAAAATGATGTCCACTGCCGGGCTTTTACGAGCATCTTCCTCCATCCCACCAGTTTCTTTTAGCAGCAGAACGTCTGTACTCACTTGTTTTCAAAATATTCATAATTTTAAAAATCGCCTGGACACAAATGACCCGCATACACAGTGAGGATTAAGACTGAAGATAGTCTCAAATATAAAAATCAATTATAAATATCGGCCTTAGAGCTCTAGATTTACAAAAATAGTGCATCTCTTTTATTTGGAGAATGCCAACAATCGCGTTTTTCTATTGGTTGCTTCTCTTATTTCGACTGCCATTTTTTACTTAATTATTTATCTATCATCCCATAAAAAAGCGCTTAGTAATTCTTTAATATATATTATAATAGTTATTAAGTTAAACATGGTAGTCGTTTACGTACTTTTGTAAATCTAGAGCTCTACTGATGCCTGGTGCAAGTCGGAAGAAGTCGGACTTTCCCCCGAACTCGTGATATCGACCTTCACGTGCCACGATCTCTTCCATGTATTGGTAACCTTGTAAAATCGCTATGCTAATTAGAACGCACTTAGTTGCAGCGAGAGACAAAGACAAACAGAGTAGACATAAAACGTTGCGATAATGCGGGAATGATAATTGCGCGGATTGCTAATGTACATGCGTCTTAGAGACGGACTTGTTCCTTGACTGACATTGCAAAAGTATACATTATTGCTTTATTCGAATTCTATTGAATCTACCGCAGAAAGATTTCTGGGATTTTCTACTGGATTTGTGATGCCATCACGATATCTGTGATAAACATCCGGTGTAACACAAATGACGACGCGAGATCATTTTTTTGCCGGTCGTTGAGCTAGAAGAGTTAATTTTAAAGCAAATAAAATATTTATATTTTCGTCTGTTCTCTGAAGAAGGCTCAAAAATGAGCCGAAAGGAATAATATACGTTATTGAATGTATTAAATTGATTTGTTGAGTAATAATTGTTTATTGCGCATAATTACCGCGCTTGATTCCTACGTCCTTTTTTTTCCGTTTTAAATAAAATATCACAATAAATATTGGATTTGAACAAATCAGAATCTCGATAGACAATGGCCTTCGGCGAATGAACGAGAGATAAGACGCTTCCTTTGAATCTTCATTCGACGCGATCGATAAGATAATTTACTTGAGCACATTCCTCGAGATTTATGTTTTTCGCGAGAAAGCTTTGAAAACTGCATAAGATGGATAAACGTCTAATTTTGCAGTAAATAATAAATAAATATATAGATTGATAGACTTGCAAATTTTACTTAATTATATAAAAGTGAAATCAAATCAATTGAATAAATTGAGATGTGTTTATCGATAACTGATTAAAAAAAAAAAGCTGATAGATATCAACTAATAGAATGAATAATTACGAATGGCTAACAGATCAGATCGAGAGGAAGTTCGGAATGATTTTCTTTTTTCACGTGCGAGAAAATACACCTCGTCCCAAGATCGATCGCGTTGGGAAAGAACTTGGACTTTCTCGTCTCTGGAGAATCGATGCCATGGGACACCCCGGCGACACGTCACTGTCGCATACGTGCGCGCGCGTGTGTGCGTGCGTGCGTGCGTGCGTGTGTGTGTGTGTGTGTGTGCGCGCGGGGCAGATTTGCCAGGGGTAAGTCGAGATCTCAAGGATAGCAGGGGTAACCCACTGTCGTGTACGGTTTATTGGGGAATGACGAGACGCGTGGACAAATCTTTCGCTGTATCGCTCGATTAAGAACGATCGCTCGACGCGGTGTATTACTAGTAATAATCCTACACAGAAAATTAATGTTGCTAAAATATCTAAAAATTTACTATATACAGATCTCTGAAAGTAATTTTGTTCCACCATCAAAATAATTATTATGAAGCTCAAGTATGATAAACGATGCTGTAAAAAATGTTGTCATTCTAGCAACCAGTTAGAGCAGACCTGTCTAATTTGAGCTCCGGAACCAAAACGCAAAGCAATCGACGCAAAATA